GCACTTTGGTGCCTCCAAAAACACGATCACTTTACATTGTGATGTAATTTTTTGGAAAAAATCTATCCCAATCATTCGTATCTGTTTCAGATAACAATTGCCATGAGCCTTTTGTTATACAAAGAATGGTAAAATGTAATGCATGTAAAAATTGGGTTTGCCTGATATGTAGCGGAACAACCTTTTCAACCTTTGTTCGATTTGTCTTGGGACTGATGAATAGTTTTTTGTTACAGTTTAAGACCGTTTACAACGTACGGCATTTCATACAAACTTTCAAGTCTTTATATTTCGAAATAAATGAACCGATTTTAATGAAACTTCCTATGCATAAGCAGGATATATAGGTCCAAAAAGTTAATGAGAACTATTTCGAAAAATAATGTTACAGCTAGATTCAGCTGATTTTAAATTTTCCATAGAAACAGATATTTCCAATTATCTTGTTTTAAATAAGACATTTCAAAAATGTTCTTTACTAACTTTTTAGAACTATGTGTCCTGCTTATGCGTGTGAAGTTTCATTAAAATCGGTACATGCATTTCGAAAACAAGGACTTGAAAGTTTGTATGAAATGCCGTACGTTTTAAACGCTCTTAAATGACATACTAGTAATATTATGTTTAATACGATAAGTACAAGTTACCATAATTGTTGTCATAATTGAGAGTCATATAGACGTTGCCTTATAGTTCCTAAACGTTATTTTCGAATTACATTAACGTCACTGTCCTATTATTACTGTGATTTATTTTCTAAGACTAATTAATAGATCTCAAAGAAATTTGACTGTTTTTGTTCAATATAGCTTACTATAAATTTTTAATTTGATATAATTAAACTTTTGAAAGAATATTTCTCATATTTGACGTTCTAGGATGAAAAAAATATAGTACAAAGTACCCAAAAGTAGCGTAAGGAATATCTTTGTTAAAACATTTTTTGATTAGATCTAATATGCTGAATTATCAATATTTTTTAGAAAACAGATTGTGTTTATTTTTCATAAATAAAGTTAAAAATACTGAACTTCTTTTTTAGTTTTCATGAAAACTATTTTAAAATTAGTAACGTAATGGAATTTCTTGAGAACATAATTTAATTAAAATTGTAATTATTTTCAAAATTCATTATTATTTTCTTAAAAAAATACTATTTTCATACTGCTCATACTATATTTTATCAATTTAATTACATTTTGAAGCTAAATGTTAAAACTCATATAAGTGGAATTCTAACTACGTCACCGACAATTTTTTTGAAAAACGCCCAGTTACGTTTACGCGGTCATCTGTACAGTCAACCAGTAATTTTTATTTTTATAGATTAGGATGAAAAACGAACAATGAAAAGTGAAAGCTGTGGCCCATAGACATCTACATTTATTTTATCCTCGATTTAAAATCAAAATGATGATTCTGAATTCTAAAACTTCCGATTTGCAGTTTTACACAAGAAATGTCCCTACATTTTATATTCTACATCTTAAAATTTTAATGAAAAATCGATTTTTAACATTATTTTTTACTTAAACACATTTTCGCAACAAAACTATGAGTGTTTAAAGATAAAGTTTAATTTTAACCTGAAGATTTTCAATAACGCTCCTACGGCCTGGCCACTGGCGGGGCGAAAATTCGCGTTGTGCGATTTGAGGGCCACGGGAAGTCACGTTTGCCGCCGCGACCAGATAGGCCGAGAGTGAAATGTCTTTATCAAAGTTATCTTGATATTGCTTAGAAAGTAATTGTTTTTTGATTCAAGACGTAATATTTAGATGAGATTGCGGAGTATTTGATTTGAATAGGAATCGGGTTATATGTGGAGAATTCCATAACAAAAAGAATGCATCTAGAAAAAATTTCGAGTAAATACCAGAATGAGTGTTGAAACCTGCGATTATATTCTTGTTATTATTCAACCAGAATTGGAGATAAAAGTCAATGCGGATAGAATTTTAAGTTGTTTTTGTCGGCCCGGTATTTTTCGCAGCGAAAACTACTAAAATATTTTGTTGCTATACTATTCGCCGCGATTGCCGCCCGACTCCGTGGCTTGCACCGTACTGATTCATACATTTGTTTCATTCGCCCGCCGTGCCGCCAGTCGCCCGCGCGATTCGCCCAGTAAATTTCGCCAGGCGCGTCGCCACTCCCCGCTACGCGTGTCATGGTCCGTACATTTCTATACATTTGTTTTAGTCGCTAGACGCCTCGCCGTTCGCGCCGCGCGAATTTTCGCTACGGCGAATGTCCCGTGGCCAGGCTGTTAGGCTGAGCTCAGATTGCAGTCACGACAGTTTTAAGACAGTCTTGCCTCACATAGACAAGTCTGCTTTAAAATAAAAACGAAACTTTTTTGTCTACGATGCGTCGCGCATTTAAAACAAAACTGTTTTGTCTACGACGACGCGTCGAACGCCGCGTGCCGTCTGCGTCACAGTTTCAAAATGGACTTCACTGATACCACGGTAATTTTATCTATAATAATATTACCGTGCTGATACTGTTGTAATAAGCATCCTAATTTTGGGGGCCCCCCTAAGGGTTGGGGTGCGTTTTTGGGGGTTTTTTTTTTGCCCCGTACACGTGCACTTGCAAAACGACGCAAACGTACCTGCCCAAATATTTGGTGTGCATCCCATTTGTTTTTTTTTTATTGACATCAGAATATTCCTTACATGATTTATTGAAAAGTACAGGTCTCTTTTCAACCTCGTCAATTAGTTTTTCTACGAGTTCTTCGTCGTAAACATGATGCGACGTGTTTAATCTCTGAACGCTCGGACGAGACTAGAAGAGAGGGGGTATGTAGTCAAATTTCGGGAACGTTGAAAGGAGTTTTTACAAACTAAAATACAATTAAATTACTATGTCTCACCGATTTGGAGTTGGCTTTAATAATGAATCATATTCAAAGAACCTGTTCGTGCGCAGTGTTAGTTTTATTGCTTAGCCTAAATAATACAATATAATATATTTTAATATTCTAGTCTAAAACAGAGGGACGGAGTGTATCCACAACTAAGTCGCCAGACTGTTTTGTTGTTGATGTGCGCGCTCACATACATACAAAAGGGAAGCCGACAGTCGTTAGTCAGACTTGTCGCCGAGCAGTTCTTGTAGGCATTAGACAATTCTGCCTGTGAGACGTTTTGTTAGAAGTTTGCGCGTCTCCATATATTTTATAAAGCAATAGTCGCTCAGCCTTAGTTTTCGAGGTAAGAGCAAAAACTTTTTTACCTACTTGCCCGAACACCATTCTTATACGAGTAGATCTGCAGGTATTTTGTTTGTGATCTACGTAGGGATGGGCCGAATATGGATTTTTTCGATATAAAAATATGGATTTATTTCGGTAGGATTACCTCGGTACCTAACCAATTTATGTCGAAACTTGTTACCGTAAAGCGCGCTGGATTAGTGCCGGACCCCCGCCACACCTGACATGTTATTGCATCATCTAGTACTGAGCAAATTGCCGACACATGCTTATGTTTTGACTATTTTTGTGAGAAGAAAAGTATTTCGTTGTGTTATTCTTAGTGAAAATTAATAAGTATATGACGAAAATGAGTGGCAGGAGATCTACTATTTGGACAAATTTCTCTAAAATTGGTCCAAATAGTAGATCTCAATTTTAGTTTGATTCCAAACAAAATTTTATCAAGCTTTCTATTTGCTATAATTGAAAATAAATCTACAGTGTCTCAAAAACATAACGCTATATAAGTAGATTTAACCCATTAATAAATATACTTTCAACAGTAAAATTATGAAAGACATGGCTTTACTCAATTCGTACATTTCCATACAGTGGATAGATACTTTGAGTACCACTTTAACGAATGTTCGTTGATTTAGCCGAATATTCGGTACACCGGCCGAATACGAATATTCGGTACACCGGCCGAATACGAATATTCGGTACACCTGCCGAATATGCTGAATACCGAATATAAAAAGAATATTCGGCCCACCGCTAGTTCTACGCGGATGTAGTCGCGGGCAAAAGGAGTATGAAACATATCCTGTGTTATTTATTATTTTGTGTTTACAATCGTATATCTAAGGATATCGATATCGTAAAAGTTCACAGCTGATCATGTGCTCCTCGTCACACTCGGCAGGCAGATTGACTATATCTATGCCAGACGTGGTAGCCCAGATGCTTAGCGCTTGCTGTAAATTTCACAGTGCGCGAGCAACCCGGGTTCGATTCTCACCGTCACTAATGAAATTGTTAATTGCAATTTCAAGTGCTGATTCACCACGTGTTCGGAGGTTAATGAAAACATCGTGAGGAAACCTGCATATCTGAGAATAGAAAAGAAAAAAATTTTTGAAGGCATGTGAAGTTTGCAACACGCATTGGGACAGCCCTAAAACCCTCTCAGTAATGTGAGGAGGCCTGTGCCCAGCAGTGGGATGTCTATAAGCTGTAACTTTAACTTTATGCCAGACGTCTCGCACCATTGTTGCTGCTGCCTGTCGCCAGTTTGAGTATTTTGCGTCATATATTTCATGAGATTTTGCGGGCCGTTCCCATAGTAGCCTCCTGCAACACCTACGGGAGGAAATGTGATAAAAAATTCTTAAAAGCTGTTCTTTTATAGAATATGGGTAACAAAAGACAATGTTGTGTCCCATAGACATCTACATTTATCTTCGATTAAGAATCGAAATGCAGATGCGTTGTCACCCCTGAGGTAAGAACTAAAATGAAATGTCTTGTTACCAGTAAAAAGGGTCTCTTCAGTTCTCCACACACGTTACACAAAATACAGAAGTATTCAGCGTGTTATGCTGCTTTTTACGCTGGTATGCTACAAGAGTGTGGAGTCCTTCTTCGGCAGAGTCGACTCATTTACGCTTCATCCATAATACAGCTGCCATATGGCTTTCTCACATTGTGTCCTGAACAAGGAGGAAGAAAATGTTTTACCACCGTTTCTTTCCTTTTTTACTTCATTATCTAAAGAAAACTTTGTTTGTTGCAGACACCTCGCGCAACCTGTACTTGCTGCACATCCTGACATGGGTAATGAACATGTTCGGAATCTTCTTCATCCTCGCAGCGCACGAGCACTACTCCATTGACGTGTTCATCGCGTTCTATATCACTTCACGCCTGTTTCTGTACTACCACACGCTTTCCAACAACCAGGCGCTTATGCAGAATGATTCTTCCAGGTAGATGATGCGATGCTCAAGTGCTCATCATTTAATATTTATTAGATAACTTATGATTTTGTAAAGAATAGATAGATGAGATAGACCGTGTTGTAGTGGCGGTTAAGAATATCCACTTTCCCATATCGTCCCATGGGTGTCGTAGGAGGCGACAGAGAGAAACAAATCAGAAGGTAGCCAGCAGCGTCTTCCTAATAACGGCTAAAAATAAGTAGCAAAATATAACTTGAGGATACAACGCCGATGAGGAAGAGAGATTTTTGACTAAGTAGCCTTGAATCAAAGAACGTAATGTAAGGCGACTTTCTGTACATAAAGAAAGTGACAGCCAAGAGACTGCGGTTGCCAAGCGTGGCAGCTATGGCAAATATTGAGTATTATAGTATATAGTATATATACTTTATACAATATGTAACGTAATTAACGCACACCCTCAGACACCCCAATTAGTATATTATGTTATAATCATAATGAACTGAATTTTTAGTTAAACATTTTTTTTGCACTGATTATTTTTCAAATCAGATGTACTAATTCCGGAAGAATGTTGTGGTCACAGTACAAATCCACGAACGCAAAGACTTTAGCGTGCTTGAAATAAAGTTCATTATTCTTTATTTTTATTGAATGGCAGAATTAGTAATAATACAAATAAAACTGCACTCTTAAGTCTTATTGCCTTAAGTTACGGTCCATTTCAGTTTGTTTTGACTGTATAGATTTAGTAGGACTGTAATTTACGTAGTTTTAATTATTTTTGGGATAAAAAATTACCTATATTAAAAACGAGAGGAATCGATTCAGTAAACGATTCTGAATAAACTACTTTCTCAAAGTGCGTTAATTATGTTACATGTTGTATATAGTGTATGTATATAGTATATGTATATAGTATTGAGTGAGTAGAATTGAATGAACTTAAATAGGCAGTAACGTTAACTGTAAGTAATAAATTACCTAAAGAGGTAAAACCATAATATCATTCTTCAGAATAAAACTCCATGAACAAGGTAGGTTATTGCTTTCAGGTTTGTTTATATTTGAATTGATGTAGCCGCGGTAGACATGTGTCAATCATGAATGATCCGTGTATTGAGCTGGTACACTTAAAAGTATTGATGGTTCATTAATCTGTTTTTGTACAACCAATCACAAACAATTGACGGAACCTTTTAACTCGTGATAGGTGTGAATTGTGAATGAGTCGAAAACCGACCGAATCCCGAATGATCTGAATGAATTGTTTTTAGTGTAGGGTACTGGAGCCCGAAATAATCAATTTTAGTAATCGATCCGAATGTTCCGGTTACTGGTACGCGTGACGAAATGTACTCGAATAATTCGGTCACGAGAAATGAATTGTTTTTTTGGGCAATATAGCGTTTTTTGGATATAAAAAAAATTTTTAATACCTAGCATGAAGGGGTACCACGTAATATTGCGTACAAAATAATTTACATAACTCCTGGGAATGCTCTTTATCCGTTCGTGAAGTTTCATTACAATGTTTCACTCATTTCAAAGATTAGCCCGGCTATATTATACAGTCAGACAAAAATTTAAAAAATGATTATTCAAATCATACTGGGATGCAAATAACGCCCCTAACTCAATACTATAAGACAGGTATTTCGATATTATCACAGAGAGACATATCAATTTTATATATAGTTTCTATGTATATTGTGTAAAGTCCCACTACAATAACGATAGAGATAATTATAGTTAAACTAGTGGGAACTGACCGACGTATCATAGGCCATGGGATCTTCCGGGTATTTACTAAAATTTTTTTTACCACCGGCGATTTTTCCGGACCGTTACGACCTGGGGACCTTCAAGATAAGAGTTTACTCCTTTCTAAAGGCCTGGCAACACACCTGCAGTTCCCCTGGTGTTGCGTTGTTCATGGGCTGCGGTAGTCACTCCTCTTCTATAAAAAGAAAAAAGGTCGCCTTTCACTCATTGGTTGTAATGGGGTGATGGATTTTATGGTTGATTTTTTATATCTATCTATTACTTGGCAATTGGGTGTGGGCAGGTAATCTCTTTTTAAGCTATTGCATAGCTTCTATCGCGGGCCTTGAGCGCGGGGACCGAATCCAGAAATTCCGTAACGAAAAAACCTCACGCTCCCCACTCCGACGGGCACGGAGGTGTGGCGTTGAAAGCCGTGCATCGTCTAACGTCGTTTCAGTTCGGCAGACTTCGGCACTCGGCAGAGTTCGGCACGGTGTTTGTGTACGTGCGACTAGACGTATGCGTGTACACTAGCTGCTAACTCAATGATAAAAATTTCTGAATAACCTACATGTATTGTAAGATATTAAAAATATTTTAAATATTTTTTTTATTATTAACTTCTTATTTATTCAATAAGAGAAAAAAAATTGTTTTCTATCGGTCACCACGCTCAAAAAGTGTAACTTGATTTAATATCAAAGACTTAACTGCATAAATAAAATAAATAAATAATTATAATTGCATAAGTTGATAAAAAATGCTATGCAATAGCTTTACCGCGGCAGTCACCGAGTGCCACACGTATTTATTTTTAAACAACAGTGTTCAATATATTGTACGTTCGGCCAATCTCCACTCTTTATCCACCTATACGTGATAGAGCCATGCTGGCAGCTATATTATAGTTGTAGCACGAATGGGTGGGCTCGACCGGGGAAAGACCACGCTCTCACAGAAAACCAACGTAAAATAGCAGCTCAATGCCACTGTGTTTCGTATGATGAGTGTAGAAACCAGAGACCCTTTTTACTGGAGACGAGGTATTTTATCTTAGTCCTCGGGGATGACAACGCATCTTCATTTTGATTCTTAAACGAGGATAGATGTCTCTGGGCCTCAGCATTCACTTACCATCGGGTGGGCCGTGTTCTCGCTTATCACCCTTATTCTATAAAAAATCCATTGTGTTGCCGACATACTACGCAATTGAACCTAACGGTTTTCTTTGTCGTTTGTGATGCCTACAGGAAAGGAGTGGAATAATTTGCCTTCCTATCCGATTTTTATTTGTCAGGCGAGAGTGAATTTTTGGTTTTTGTTTAAATAAGTCAGTGCGCTTTGCCATCTTCGGCTGCATCATCACTTACCATCGAAGGGGGCAGTAGTCAAACACTTTCAACAAGTCTGCCGCCCGAGACTATGTTACTTGCTATAAAACACTTAAATGTTTATATCACAAGATGTTATGCTCGTTGGGATTAAGTTGCTAAGCTAAACTATTTCGTTGCAACGATGGTCACATAAGCGCGACACACACAGTCAGTTAAACTGATCACTTAATGAAAACTGACGTAAGCCAAAACGACGTATATCTGGCTAGCCAACCTCTCACCGCGTCAGTTGGTTGCCGTCCGTGAATAATTTCAACTTAAGATTGACACTCACGGTCAGTTTTTGGATGTACATCAGTTCAACTGATTAGTCTTACTGACCGTGTGTGTCAAGCAATAGCGTCATTTGAAAAATTTCGCTTCAAATAAAAAAAATCGGTTTCTAGTCTATATATATATATATATATATATATATATATATATATATATATATATATATATATATATATATATATATATATATATATATGTATATATAACCGGCAATGTATATAATTTAGTCATTGTGTAGTCGTTCCATGTAGTGCCGGGTTTGTTTAGGCAAAGTATAGAATTCCATGAGGAGATCAGATAAATTATAAAAAGTGAACAAATAAAACATATTTTCTTTATTGTAAATCAACTTTACTAAGAACCACAGTCAACTTTGACTAAAATTGTTTATAAAGGTAACATAAAAGAATTGTTGGAAACTTAATTTGGTTAGGTTACTTCAGTCATGACTGAGGTCTTAACTGAGGACGTAATTTTCATAAATTTGTATCTTAAGACAAATCGTGAACTGCACCTCCGCTATTCCGTTATTCAATCATTGCATTGCCCGTTAAACATTTGTATAGAAGATTTATACAGCTGTTGTATAGAATGCTTAGGTAAAGTATGAAATAAGTATTTTATACATTGCCTGAATGTTTTAGGTATTGTATATGATATACCTTGGTATTGTATACAGTACTGGATCATACAGATGGCTATAACATATACACAAAACATCAGTACATCAGTTTTGTATTCTTCAATTATTTTTACACATATTTTATAGCATTGGCTGACAAAGGAGTCACAGTCCACCTAATGGAAAATGTATGCTGTGGCCCATAGATATTCACATTTATCCTCAATGAAGAATCAAAATGCAAATGCGTTCTCACCCCTGAGGACTAAGATGGAATGCCTCGATTTTGCTATAACTATAATATAGCTGCAGCGTAGCTCTACGACGTAAAAAAACTTTAAACTTTGTTCATACTTCTGCTTTTAGTAATATCTGTAGTTTTGTTTATCTATTTCTAATCAAATTAATATATAATATAACAAACATTTCAGAAAGAAATATTTATCTCTACACTTTTCTTAAAAATGAATTTCCCTCCCTATGAAATCTGTGAAATATCTTACCTCATAAGATATTTTTCTTAACCTCATAAGAGATGCCACTTTGGCGGCTGAAGAAGTCGCGAATTATTAAAGTTTTTTTTTAACTCATTTTCCTTTATGAATTTCATAAATTTTTCGCAACGATTGTTTCCATCCTGTCCTTAAGAATTCATTGATAGCTAACGATTAGGTAGTTACGTTGTAATCGCTATCGCTCATTGTTTGATACAAAAGATTACGAAAGTGATGATGGTGCATTTTGAATATGTAAAACATATTCTGCCGACTGGTAAAGTATGTACGTATATGTTTTACATAGTATCAACTTTAAACTCTTAAAATTTACTGGAAATTCGTAACGCATTTTTTTTTTGATTTTGAGTGTTAAGGCCATCCGGTATCTTCTAATCTTATCAGGTGACTATGACGACACAATGGACGCCCTTTTACAAATTTTCGTCGGATAAAAAAAATTAAATATGTGGTATT